TCCCTACATAAACAACAGAACAACTTTACCAATGAAACACACACATTCCGAGATTAATATCCTATCATTGGGTCCATCAGCATCCCCAGTATCTAAAACGTCCTTGGCATAAGGGTATGGATTGCTTTCTTTACCTGAGGGGATCGGTTTTGCTTTTAACAGGCTGATTAAGAAAAAGAGACACCTCAAAAATATACTTGTGCATATTCACTTAGAGATCTCTCAGCGTGTATCAAACTGTCCTAGCACACTAACTGTATTGCTAGACAAAGTAAGCAGGTAGCAATAAACTACCTATCCTATCAGTAACAAGAGTCAGTTAAAGGTGGCAAAGCAAATGCAACCAGATTACAGCACCAAACCCAAGCTAAGTGCTTTGTTCTTACTGAGTTAGGCTTAACTTTGCATTCAGAAACGTCACCATTTTTCCCTTCAGGATCCCTCTCAAAAGGCAACAGTACAGCACGATCTCAGCATGCCGATGTTCTGCCAGCTGGCTGCTCCCCCACTGCAAGGAACACGGCTCATGTCTCGCATCTAGCTTGTTCCAGACAACGCTGCGTCCTTAAGGAACAGTCTTCACTGGACAGAACCCCCAGGCAATTCAGATTCCCCCATTTGATCTCAGAGGTAATAGTGAACAGTGAATAAAGTTGTGAAATGAAATGAAATAATGAAATAAAATAGTGAAAGTGAATAAAGACAGCAATTAAACTTTGTCAAGCTTTCTACTTCCTTTCAATTCCCTATTTACTAACTCCAGCCAGGTTATGTGATTGAAGTCTATGTAATTCCTCTCTCTACAAGAGAGGAAGGGAAACAATGCAGAAGCATTGTTGTAACAAAGCAATTATTCCGTTGCTTATTCAAGTACTGATGACACTTGCAATTAAATCAAGTATTTTAAACAAGTCATACTGCACAAACACCTCACAACATAAACAACAGTTTTAGTGAAAGGTAATAAGGTTGTGCACAGCAGTGCGATCTGTCACAATAAGGCAGAGATTAGTCATCTCACCTTCCAGTACATATTCTTGTAAATGAACAAAAAAATAGGGGTGCAGACTAATTGCTATGACCTATTTTGTATTTGTTTCATTTCTACAATAAAGGATTATATCCTCTATACTTCATTCATTAGGTTTCTTTCATAAGTTTTATTCTTTATTAAAACAGTTCTACTATACTAAACAAGCAGAAAGAGCTGCACTGAACCCATCACTCATAGCTTTAAAAGCGAGAGTGGAGAGTAAGTGCCTAAAGCCTCCCCCCAAGAAAACAGTATAAATTCTGTCCAGATGATAAAACTGAGGTGTTCAGAAGGCAAGTCAAACAAGGTGAGGGGAGTATGGAGGAATTTTCACTTTTTCCTTCTGATAACTTCATTCATCAACTACCAGCCAAAACCTCTACTCCTTGCTCTGCCTGAGAACCTGCTCCTTCCTTCCAGTATATTTAATAAAAACATACAATGCATCTTTGTGAAGAAGACATAACAAAATACAAGCCACAGGACTGCCCTACATGTATGACAATAACTCTTGACAGCTCTTCCTCCTACAGAGAGAGAAAGCATAGGAGAACTGCACATCCATTGCAGGCCCTTGGCAGGTTCAACACGGAACTAGCTCAACACTTGGTGTCTTAAGTACAGCACTTTTATTTGTTCTTCTCTCCTCTTCATGCAGGAGTGTGTGCAACTCAGGACATGCATGTACCCAATATTTATCAGTCCAAAATGAACATTTTATCAGACACTTTTCTTACAAATACCAACCCATCCAGCCTTGCAAAACATGCAAGTGGGCAGTAAGCCTGTCAAGACCCATTTTAATAACTGCATCTCAGTTTACTGCTTGTCTGCCCACTCCCTTGTATCTTAAGAACTTATCACAACAGTGTAAATAAAACTATGAGGAAGAAAAGATGTAAAGAATACATTCCTAATGCTAAGAGAGTACAAGCTAAAGAATGCTTTATTAAAAACAAAGAATGGTTTTAAACAGAAAGTGAAGAAGCAATAAAGCACTAGTAAGATATTTCTCTGTTCCAAAGCATTACAAGATTCTTCACCACTGCCAACAAACCAGTGCACTAATCCCCTGAAATTATTGTTCTTATAGCAGGTGGAGACCATAAACAGACATGGAGAAGCAGCCTTTGCGGAGCAATTATCCTCCCACTCCAGGCATTCTTTGTTGCTTTAACTCTGTCACTAGCGGCCCATGCAGTAGGACTGCACCATCATACTTCAGGAGACATGCACTGCATGAGGTGTAGGCTGGCTCAAGACCCACCTCCCAGAGAACAAGCAGGTTGTCACTCAACTCTTGAAGAAGCTCCTGAAGACAGCGATATAACTCTGTCCACTCAGAAGGCTTAGCCCAAGTCACCGTTTGAGCCCCAAGTCTTTTGGGACTACTTATGGTTTTCAGAAAAAGTCAGGCAGACCAACACCACGCACTAAGGTTATATTATAAAAATAGGGGCTATATTTTTTATTATTTATTAGTAGTAGTGTGCTCTTACTCCATTTACTAATGCATTATCATTGTTACTGGGAGCTCTACTGGGACTGGAAGTTACAGAAAAATACTAGAGAAAACAAGTGTGAAAGCCTCATTAAAGAGTCAGAATACTAACAGTGCTGTTCAAGAGCCTTTGGTAACTGTTGTGCAGCCCTCCCATGCCAGGCAACCAGCTAAACTGACTGAAGAGAAAGCCACTTTCCCCAGCTTGTGCCTACAATTCAGACGGTAAGTCACACAAAAGCAACAGCTAATGGTAAAGCCCAAGGTGTCTCAGATGCATTGGTCAGTTGGCTTGTTATTTAAAAAACACAATCTACCCTGTATTACGTTACTTTTGATTGAATAGAGAAAGTAAACTCTGTGTAAACCCAATAATGGATATAAAATAAGACCTCTATTGTGAGATACTACTCTGAAGAGAGATGTGGGAACTAACCCCATTTTCACTCAGTTCTAGGTCTGACACATGCACCACTTTGAACAATTCACTCCCATCTCAAAACTTCAGTATTCTTATCTGTGCAATGATATGGGCTGCTTGCCCTGCCCTCACAAGCATGTGTTTATGTATGTAAACTGCCTTAAAAATGACAAGTGCATTTATTAGAACCAATTTAAATGTATGAAATAAACTGAGGGTACAGACAAGATATCATGCTATTGGCATTTCTAAAGTTTCAACGGCACTTAAATAATGTTCCATGATATCGCACACAAGAATCTAAGTAATTTTCAAGACAGCATAAAGCAATAATATTTGCAGGCAGTTTAAGGCAAGTTAATACCCAGCTTCCATTGAAAACACTAAGCCTGCATGCCTAATTGCTCCAGGGGCCTTTGAAAATCCCAGCGAAAATGAACAATAAGCACTAAGTCAACCCTTTCAAAATGAAAGCAACCCCCTCCACTATCATAAAGTATTCCACAAAAATGTATTTCACGTACACAAACACATATTATACATCATAACGGGTCACAGCCAGAGCTATGCAAGAGTGATTAATAGGATTAATAATATTCTTCAGAAATATTAAAACCTTTTATTATATACTGTAATATGAATGGGGAAAGGAAGGATCATTACCATATTTCACATCTATATGCCCATATTATTAGCATTTGTCAGACAAAGAGGGTAACATTCCTCAGATCTGCCATTTCTCTACCCTGCAGAAAAAAAAAAACCCAAGGAAATGGGAGCGCTCCCCTCATACACTATGAAAGTACCCTGCTGCCATTATAAAAGTCTAACTTGGTAGACAGTGCAGCAGTTGAAACCAGATTTGATGGCATCAGTACAAAAGAATCTATTATCTTTGTAAAATCAAGTAATCAACAACAAAAAAAAATTTCGGACACAGAAGCTTCTAACAGATTGATTTTGCAGTACTCAATGTCTCAATAGCTCCGTGGCAACACAGAATTAGACTCAGAGTATGTCATCACATGTAACTTCCTGTGGAGTAACCAGTATTAATTACTGTATTTTTGGTACTTGCTGACATGGGCCTCACTTGACATCATAAGAAAGAAGTAAAAATACTCCATTATCTCCTTTACTCCTTCTTCAGATACAGCCTTTCTTCTATGTTTTTCATTTTCCAGCCTATAAATTGCTTCCTTGAAAGCAGGTGAAAACTTTTGATTCAAATTAATGAAGTAAAGAAAGGAAAACAAAACCAAATTTCCCTATTCAGTAACAAAGGCTACTCAAGACCATTTCCTTCCAGGACAAGGCTGCCATAAGGAAAGACACTTCTAAGAGAAAAGCAAGATACAGGAATCAACAGAGGGTTTCTCTACAACAAGAAACTCACAAGGAAGAACTAGAGAAACAGAAAGCTTTCGTTAAGCTGAGGCTACTGTAATACACTACATGGTTGCTTAGGCCAAATGAAAAAAGTAACCTACTTGATTTTTGGAAGTGGTCAGATGAACCGTAAGACAATATTATTTCATGACTGCTATTCCTGCTGAAATTAGGTTAGTCTAACAAGTCCTGGAGGAAAGCCACATCTTTTATCATTCTAAGAAAAAAAGGTTTCATATTTAAAAACATGCTGCTGTTTCCTCTTTTTCCTCATTGTGGAAACAAAACTAATTTTCCAATTAATTTTCCAAAACTAATTCCAATCCATTTCCCTTCAAAGTGAAGATGAGACTTAGTCTCAGACATTCTCTTTTCAAATAAAGTGCAAATGTGAAAACAATAAAGGAATTAGGCACTGGCTTGCATTCTTTAGGACGGAAGTAAAAGGTAGACAGGCACACATCACACTGCTATTAAAAAGTTAGCATACCTGTCATAGTAACTCAAAGAGACTAAAAAAAAAAATTACCTCCTTTACACGACCAATTCTAATGTCTATTTGTAGAACAACAATATATTTTCGTCAGTAAAGTCATGGTGAGGCATACACGGCTGTTCGCATGTCAGAGTTCTGCCAGAAAAATATAAAAACTTACCTTGTCTTGGTTTTCCTTATTTTTGTAACACAAATTTCCAATCAAACGAATGAGATGAGATTTAAAACCCACAGCTGGGTGTGAAATTTCTTCCTGCCCTGTCATAGCATGTGTGGCAGTGAAAATATTTACTGCCTGTTTCCCAGCAAGATGAGTTAATCTCAGGGTATCTACAGAACACAAGAATATTTCAATTAATTACCACATGAAAATTAGTATCGCTTTGCACAGAGCTTTACTACTAATTGTTAGGTTCAAAGTTAATCAACATAATTTCAGATATTCAGCAATATGTCAAAAGAACTTTAAAAGTTTTCTTAATTTCTTAATTTGTGCTAGTATAACCATAAAAGGCTGTCCCAAGGTCAGAAGATATTTTTGCATCCTTTTTACACACTTAGATTGTTCAGACATGAAGTCTGAAGGCTGGTGCTATTGGTCTCTACTTGAAGAGTCAGAATTTGTAGGCTGTTGATGATTCTGGCACCGCAAATATATTTCTAAAAACAAGGTTTTTAGAAAATTTCCTTTAGTTCAAACTTGTCACAGCAACACATACTAATCACAGAATTCCTTTTTTCTCTCTTCTCCAGTCTGTTCCTAGCTCTGTAGTATGAGAAAAGATTTCAAGTACATCTACCACCTTGACACATCTTTACAAATCCTTCAGTGCCATAATCTTGTCAACGGAGAAATACTAATGTCTCTGTATGGTAAATGCTAGTTTACAATGCTCGAGAGAGAAATCAGGGAGAAGGGAAGCTAAAATCTGTGAAAACAACATTCCACAAAGAGACCACACCCAGAAGAAAAGTTGAAGTCATATGAACACCTGAAAGCCCATACAGCTGAGAAGCCAATTCACTAAAGGCTGTGCCTATATTTAAAAATTAACAAGTATTTCTCCTCTAAGCAACGTGCAATACTAGTAAACAGCCTGGCATGCCATTGTCCCCAAGATGCTTCATGCAGCTTACACTGGAACAATAAAGATGTAGCAAAACCGGGTTATAGCACAGGGCAGTAATTAAGCCCTATGCTCCTTCTGCTCCAGATATGACAACATCCGTAGTGGAATGGGCACTAGATTTCCTGGATTTAAATTAAAAGAAACTTCATAGGTCCTCATATTATAGTTTCATTCCCAGATGGCTGACATAGGAGAAGGAAAAAAAATAAAATCTCTGTGCTGATAAAGTGGTAACTACATTTTTGGTAGTTTTTTTAAGAGACGAAGCTATAACAGGGCCTAGAGGCCTCCCGTATGAGAGCTACCACTTGTATTTGTTCATATTTTGAACTAGTAAAAACCAGCCAATCTCCTGATTGCCCCTAAAAGATGTCATCATAAAATAGCTTTTAACACAATCTTCTTCCATAGCAATTTGTTTGCTTTTGTAAATTCATAAAAATTGTCAGTGTGTCACATCCTTCTCATAGCATTCACTTTGTGTGCTTCCTTGCCTTATAGTCTAAGTATTTTCCCACACACAAGCACGTAAGAGGGAATTCCATGGTCTTCCCAAACCTTCTGCCTGCCCTTAAGAGGGACCCTTGAACAAAAGGATTAAAAACAAAAAATAAAAAAACCCCAAAAGACCCACCCACCAAAAAAGTAAACAAAACTCTTCAAATTTTATTACAGTGCAGATAAAAATGCAATGAGCAATGCACCTACCTGGAAAGAGAGGTACAGGAAAAGGTGGAAGAAGAGCAGCGACCTTCCACTCATGATGCCAACCCAGAGAGAATAGTGCTCCTCTCAAACACTGCACATCAACACAACACAGCAACTGCTCCCGGGATGTCACCCATGCTCTCAACTAAAGGACGCCTCAGTCTGCCATTCTGTCATTATCCCAAAGAGCAACTCTTCCAAAATGCCCCTCGATCCAAAAGACCATTTACCTCCCTGGTGATATTCCCCAAACACTGTGCAATCAAGCTGTTAACAGTGCTAAAGATATTAGTAACACTGCAGTATTACTGTCTAACTTAATCCAACAATTACTGAAAATAGCAAAACACACTCCTTAGTTGATACTTAAAAGATCATTCAGATATTTTTCAGATCTTTCAATCAATCTTTTAGTAATTTCCAATAGGAAATTTCTCATGATATAAACTGAAGAGTAGAACTGCTTCATCAAAAGATCTATTAGATGAAAATCTTTTGTACTCTCTGTCCTTATTCTTCTGGTCTTCAGAACTAAATACTGAAGGTGATATAACACATCAATACACTTTTTCGCCCTTTTTGCTAATCCAGGATTAAAGGAGTCTTGTAGCCAAAAGGTAGTCTTAAAGAGAAACTACGTAAGTTGATAAATTCCTGTTGGCTGAAGGCATGTGGGAAATACGTAGGAGGCACATGGTAGCAACATTCTAGCCTGCACCTGTTTCATTAGCCTGGAGACGGCTGCAGAGAAAAGTCAGTCTGCGCGCAGCTAGAGAAAGGAGGACTGGCCTACAGGCCTCTAAACTTAACTGATCTGCAGCTCCTTGAAATTCTCGTTTAAGTTGAAAGACTTATACAAACATTCAGATGATACAATGCATAACTTTTGAGTTTCCTCAAAACACACAAAATAGATCTTGTTAGTCATCTTACTGTAAGCAATAAAACTATGAACCTGTCATCAAAAATACAGGTTTGGTCGTTCTTTGGTGTTTTGGGTTTGGTGGTTTGTTTTTTTTTAATCAGCAAGGACCCTTCGAACATCTCAAAATAGTCATAGTTAACAGATGTTTCAGCCTTTTTCTTTTTTAGCCAAAATATTACATATTTATCTTTAAAATGCATAAACTTTTACAATTTTCTCAGAAAATGGTGGCATACATCAGTCTCAAAGTGCAAAGATTCAGGAAGGCACAGGTCAGTATATATATATATATATACACACTTCTTCATCCTTCCTCCCTGAGTATATAGTGTCTCTCTGGACCATCCTGGCTTAATTGTCTTTGTGTACAGCCCTTTGCTTGTTGCTTCTTAGCAGAAGAAAGCTTCTTTTACACTGATCTTTAAAAGTCACTGAATTTGGTTAAGAACATTCAAACTGTACTTAGTTTTAGTTTTCAGGAATTTGGGAAACAGAGGGGAACAGGCATGGAAAAGTCCTTTTTCTATTTCTTGAGGAAATTCTTCCACACACATTCAGCCAGTGGAAGAACATAGGAAGCAGCTATGTTGTCCTTTGCACAACTCTTACTGTATAAATAGCACATTGCTGACAGTTGAATCAAGGCTCTGTTGGGTAATAGGAGCCAACAGAGCAAGTAGAGAAGCAGAAAAATTCCAGGAACAAATCAAATATTTGAAAATGTAGATTAACTCAATCTCCTATTTATTTGTTTTATTAAAAAGGTCAGAATCATAATTACCACCAGTTGTGAAAAACATGTTTTCATTCACAGAGCAACATGATTTGGAGCACACCAACAGTTAATAAACCTGGTAGCTTTTCACTCACCTATGGCTGTTTCAAGAAAACCAGGCAAAGCCTGCAGATGTTCTAGCTGTCCGTTGTTTGATGTCATTTCACAAAGAACGTCAAGAAGACGAATTGTAACCAGTGCTTCCTGTAAATGAAAATTACGTTTCTGAAAATGGCTTATGAAGGATACCGTAGGAACATAAAACTGACGATCTAAACAGAGGACAGGAACTCTCAGCACCTCAGGTTCTTTGCAGGTCTTCTAGACTGCCAAGAATAAATTTATATAAAATGACGACATCTTTCTACAATAGCAATAGTGTATTACACTGCAATAATTTCTTTTCTACAGTCAAACAGTGTCATATGTGCCCTGAAAAATCATGGGGAAACCAAAACAGAGCCATAAGGGATAAAATTTTAACAAAAACACAGTAGCTTCCAAAAGCAGAAATGCAGAAAATTACTAGCTGAGAAAATTATTTCTGTATAAATGTTTTCTTTGAGTTTATTCACTAGGAGCGTCCCACTTTAAAGACACAAACACCGTCTGCAAGACACCAATTTGTTATCCGCAGGAATTCTGTAAAGTTCTGTGGTCAAATGAATTTTGGCTGCGAGAATTTACATTATTCTTGGGTAAATAGGATTGGGATCATAGATGCAGCATTTTGGTTAGGTATGAGACACACAATTTTATTTGCATATTATTTATTCAGCCAGAGAACTATTTTTTCTCACAGACTATGTTGATGTGTGCTTACAATGACAATCCAGCACTTACAGAAACTACTTTAAGAGCGTATGGCATAATTTGGAACACCACATATTGCTCAAGAACCAGACTGTGACCGCAAGATGATTCCACACAAGGTGTGGTAGGTAAACTGCAGGTAGCCTTGAAAAGGCTCAGACACAGGTCACAGTAACTATTCCTGCCTTGTCTGGACCAGGACAAAGAGCCATTTACTTACCAACAGTATAATATTTTTGAATCCATATTAACAGAACATAATTGAAATCATCAACAATAGCGTTCAGTAATTAAATACTATGATTATATCCATTCTTTGCTCCTTCCTATGCTCCTGGAAAACAACAAATTGGTATAGGATCCAGGTCCTAAAAAGCTGTATTTTCATTTTTTTCCTCACACAGGTGTAGGAAGGTGCAGGTCTCACCCTAAGTTATTCAATAAATTGCTTTCAACAGCACAAAACCAGCCTCTGAATACATTGGTCATTGTCCTGTTATAAAGTAAGAATACCCTAACTGTATTTCACAGACAGTAAGCAGGTATTCACAGTTTTTAAGCCATTTTGCATTGTTACAAGACAGTAGCTTAACCAAAAACCTCTTCAGCTCATACACTCAACACTTACTTTTGCACAAGAAAAGGTTACGCGCTTTACAACTGTAAAGGAAACAAGTATCAATAGACAACTATAAATCACACCAGTAAGGTGCAACAGCCCTTGCTGCCCATGTGTACCCCATTACCCACGTACATAATGAAAGCTCTGTAGCAGCGGATACTATGAGGTGTGGCTTTTTCCTTTCTCAGCCTTATCCTTTTTTACACACACCCCTCTTTTTTGTTTTTTAATGCCTTTCTTCACTGTCCTCTACATATTTCTTCCCAGGGTTTTATACTACCATCTATCCCTTTCTCTTATCCCACCAACTGGCTCAGTTCAGCAACTCTTCCATCTAGATTTGAGAAGAGGAACAAATTATTTAAAAAGCACAGAAGAACCCCCAAATTCTTATCTATATTTGAAACTTGATACTTTCAAAAAACTGTTTAAACACCTCTGGTTGGGTTCCCCCCCACCCCGCCCCAACGTTCAATTTTATTTTTTTTTTTTCCTCCCCCTTCACAAAAGAAAGGCAATAAAGCAGAATACTTCCTTTTTAAGTTCAGCAACAAGATGCTGTTCAAAACCCAAAATATTTTGAAATCTGACAGCCATCTTGATGTGGATATAATCTCATAAGTAAATAAGGAAATAATTGAAGAGTTTTTAAATAAACATATGTCGAGAGAGATACTCAGAAAAGATGTTCCTTATAAAGAGATTAAAGAAGAACTTAAAATCCAGGGAAGGATTTTATTTTGCAAGTAAGGTTGAAAGTTAGTGAAAGCAAACTGATGTTCAAGTCAGGCTTATAATGGAAAAGCTATTTTAAACATTGGTTTAAGCACTGCAGAAGCATATGATTAGCTTTTCATTGGTTTGAGATGGAAGCTACAAGACCTGAGGTTCCTTAGGGAAAAAAGGCAATGTCTACATATAATAAATTAAACCGTGGATGGGACACCCAGACAACATTTTGGGAGTCAGGCCAGTTCAAGGACTGTTCCCAGAAGAGTTTTCAAATGTGGCCTCCCAGTGTTGGAGGCTAAGACAACTTACTAGCCTGACCAAGGCATTTGGCTTCAGGGCCACAGAAAAGTCCAGGCAGAGTTTAGTTTAATATCACAGATGTTGCCTAAAACATTTTTAATGACAGACTCTATATGCACAATTGCATTTTTTTCAGTTATGTACAACTCTTACGCAAAAACTAAAATATTTATATAATCGAGGAGAAATTGGTGCAATTTTTGATCATTTCTAGGAAGAAAAGAAACAGTTTTATGAATTTAAGCTGGAATTTCTCTTTTCCCATGGCAAGCATATGTTACAAATAAATGTATACACACAATATGCATATACACACACTTTTTAAAAACTATTCTTGTCATTGCTCTCCATTTATTCAGCTATTATGACTTATATTTTGTGCTCATTAAATGATCCATATTTCCCACCAAATAGCGATACTCAACTTATCACACATCATGTTTATGTGAGAGAAGGATAAAAAGTCAGTGTCAAGGAGGGCAAGGTATACAGTAATATTCTTAATACTGCTGTCCCAGCACCTTCAAGTTGGACAGAGATCGCCTTCTGCTAGGCACAAACAGATTTTTTTTTTCCAAGAACTGAAAACCACAGAATACTTGGAAAGTAACCACAC